AGCCCTTGCAAAACTGGAATTGGGGGGAAATCTCTCTGCTGTTTAGTGTCGTAGCTGGTACATAGGAAGATTGTTGTGGTTGTTAGAGGTCAGTCACCTCATCTTCAGGAGATTTATGCAGGTTGTTTGTCAGGGTAGTGTCCTAAGCCCAGTCATCTCCAGCTACTTCATCAAGGACCTTCCCTCCATCACAAGATCAAAATTAAAGATTTCACTGATGATTGCACATGTTCATCACGATTCACAACTCCTCATCAGTCCATGTTCAAATGCAACAAGATCTGGCCAATATCTAGGCTTGCACAGACTAGTGGCAAATCATATTCACACCACACAAATAGCAGGCAATAACCATCTCTAATTAGAGACAATCTAACCATTGCAATGTGTTGCCATCACTGAATCCCCCACTATCAGCATCTTGGGGGATTATCATTGACCAGAAACTCAACTGGACTTGCCTTGTAAACACAATGACTGTAAGAGCAGGCCAGAGACTAGAAACACTGGCGAGTAACTCTGCTCCTGACTCCCCAAAGGCACGAGTCGGGTCTGTGATGGAACATTCCCCATATGTCAGGGTGGATGTAGCTCCAACACTCGTGTCTTGACATCATCAATTTCAAAACGACACGCTTGATTGGCACCACATCCACAAGCATCCGCTCCCTCCAGCACTGATGCTCAGCAGCAGTAAGTGTGTACTATCTGCAAGATGCGCTGAAGAAATTCACCAAAGATCCTTAGCACCTTCCAAACCTCTAACCACTTCCACCTTGAAGGACAAGGGCAACATACACCTGGGAACACTATCTCCATCTTCAGGGTTGGAGTGAAGATTTGTAGCCCAGGTGCTGGTTGTAGATATTGGTGTGTTTGCTGAGCTGGGAGGTTTGATAGCAGATGTTTCATCCCCTCACTAGGTGACATCCTCAGTGCTGTGGAGCCTCCTGTGAAGCACTGTTGTCTTGTGCTGGTTCAAATTTCTATGGCCTGGCTTTTGTTGCTTCCAGTAGGTGCCGGTTCTGGCTGTGTGTTGTAATGGTCGGCATATCGGGTCTAATTCAATGTCAAATTTGAACCGGCACAAGACAACAGCGCTTCACAGGAAGCTCCACAACACTGAGTAAAGGGACAAAACATCTGCTATCAAACCTCCCAGCTCGGTGAACACACCAACATCTACAACCACCACTATCTGCAAGTTCCCTTTGAAACCATTCATCGTACTGACTTGGAAATACGTCACTATTCCTTCATTGTTACTGGGTCAAACTTGTGGAATTCTCTCCCTGAAGGCATTGCAGGTCAAGCTACAGCACGTGAACTTCAGCGGTTCAAGAAGACAGCTCTCCACCATCTCAAGGGAAACTAGGGATGGACAATCAATGGTGGGCAGCCAGTGGCACCCACATCCCACAAGTGAATAAAAAAAACCCTTCGCAGAAGTATCCAACATTCATCTTCCTGTATTTTGAAATCAAAATTCTAAAGATGATTTTGTAAATCATGTTTTGTACGTAAATTATGTACCATCATCACCATATAAAAGACTTACATAGAATCCCTACTGTGTGGAAACAGGCCCTTCGGCCCAACAAGTCCACACCAACCCTCAGCATCCTAACCAGACCCATCCCCCTTTCACCCACCTAATCTACACATCCCTGAACATTATTGGCAATTTAGCATAGCCAATCCACCTAGCTTGCACATCTTTGGACTGTGGGAGGAAACTGGAGCACCCAGAGGAAACCCACGCAGATGCAGGGAGAATGTGCAAACTCCACATAGTCACCCAAGGGTGGAATCAAACCTGGGTCCCTGGCTCTGTAGGCAACAGTCCTTTTATGCTTGGAACATTCTCCTTTCAAAATCTCTCTGCTTCCCTTATTTGATTTTTCACTTCCTCTCAAACATTGTATATTCAGCTTGGCTCTTTTTTTCCATCCTGGAAGCTTTTGATTTGTTTGCCCCACCTTTTCCCTGTAAAGAAATAAACCTTGAAGGTGTCTGAACCATCAGTTCTGATACTTGATTCAGTTACAATTTTGCCTGCTAATCTTTGATCCCAATTTGCCAAGCCATTAAATTTAGCTTTCACCCAGTTAATTGTTCTTACCATGGAGTGTTCTTTGTCCTTTTCTTTGCTAATATTTATTTATTTCTATGTGATGTGGGTGATGTTGGCAAGGCTAACATTTGTTTTCGTCATTCATTGCACTGAGTGGCTTGCTAGGCATTTTAGGGGGAAGTTAAAACTTAACCATGTTGCTTTGGGCTTGGAGTCACGTATAGGTGAGATTTGATGAAGATCGCAGATTTCTTTCATCAAACGGCATGGGTAAACTAATTGAGTTTTTATGACCGTGGCAACATATTAAAGGTTTTAACAGCAATTGATGGTCACCATTACTGACTAGTTTTCAATTTCAGACTTTATCATTTGAACTTAAATTTCACCTGCTGTCTTGGTGGAATTTGAACCTATATCCTGAGTGCAGTAGAATGGATTAGTTGACAAGGGATGACAACATATGTCACCTGTCCTCCTTGCCGTGCAAATTTTATAATGTTCAATGTTCCGCTATGACCTTCTACTTGCACTTCTTGGTTGATCCCAAGAACTAAGTCTAGCAGGGCCTCCGTTCTCTTTGGATTGGAAACATACTGCTATGGAAAATTCTTTTACACATACCCTTGGAACTCTTGATCTCTCTGTACTTTATTGCAATCCCAGTTTATGTACAGATGATTATAGTCCTGCATTACAGCATTAATTCTTGCACCTCTAATTTCCTTGCAAATTTGTTTTCCCTACATCTTTTCCATTAATTGATGGCCTATAGAATGTACTGAGTACTGAATGTAATTACACTTTTTTGATCTTCAGCTCTGGCCAAATAGTCTGTACTTGACTACACTGGGACATCCTTTCTCCTATGTGTCACCACCCCTCCACTGCTTTTTTTTTTCCCCTATGTTTTCAACACACTTTTAACAACCTAAAAATGTTGAATTTCTCTGTCTGTTGGAGTCATTGTTCAAATTCTGAATGTAATAGCACTGTATTTTTTATGTGTATGTCTGACTATCTTTGTTTAAACTGTGGAACAACATAAAGTGCAGTTTTCATTTCCTTGGAATTGGCGAAAAGGGAAAATAATGGGCTGAGTTGGTCCTCAAGAAACTTGCTCCCTTCTCACCATCTCACTAATTAAATTCTGGGTGAGCAGTTGCATCAGTGACTTTCTGGACCTGCCACCGATTAAAGTCTTTTAAGTGGTCAATTAAGTGCCACATAAAATTTTTTAGATTTTTATTGTCACGTATACTCAAGTTCAGAAGTACAGTAGTACAATGAAAAGTGTATAATGTCGCTACACATGGTGCCATCTTAGATACCAAGGTACCTAGGTACAAAAAGAGTTTAGGTAAAAGAAGAAAGAGAAATGAGAGTTAAAAAGTTAAGCATTACTTTGTAGAATATTAGAAAAATAAAAAAGTAGGTAAAGTTTTTCATAAATTAAACTAGGAAAATAACGGAATAGCTAAAAAGTTCAACAGTCTTTGAGTCCTCCACTTCTCTCCCTCTGCTGTCTGTTTTTGATGTCGCTGCGGCAGATACCGTCTCTGCAGCCAAGACTGCTGTATCCCCGATCTTCCCTGGTGTCCTGGGAACATGCCTGGACAGGATCCACCCGCACACTGAGCTGAGACACTGCCACGAGCCGCCAAGAGACCAGCCGACACACCGCTGAGAGGCCAGGACTTGCCACAAGCGACTGAGAGACCAAGCCAGGATCTGCCGTGATCCGCTGAGAGACCAGACAGAGACCCTCCGAGACCAAAGGGAAGGGAAAAAAAGAAAAAATGGGGAAAGAAAAGAGAAGGAAACAGAAGGAGCGGAGGAGCTCCAGTTGGAGTGTCCCACTCTGCCACCGTCCCAACTGGAAGTAAAGGACTTGACCTGTCATCTACTCCTCAGTGGATGAGAAAAGTGACTCATTTCTGGACCGGAAAGCCAAGGCGACTTGCATGCTGGATTATTTGGGGTCTCCTGTTTTCCCAGACTGGGGCCAGTCAGAAGCATGGATCCGGGACAAGGAGGTGGCCTGTAACCCCCCCAACCACAAGTGTGAAAAGTACTAATTTCACTGTTGGTTCTTGTCAGGAGCAAGCCTCAACCGAAAGACTTTAAAGATGCAGAAAGCAACTTCTGATAACCAGGACACAGAGAAGCCTGTCAAAGCTGGCCAGCTCAGCTCTCAATGAGGAACAACATCTTAACTTACTGTACTCTGTAGCCTGGACTCGATAACTTAGATCATACCCTCTGTCTCTGTCTTGCTTTATACTCTTATGTTTCTTCTCCATTTTTCCTTGCTCTTTGCTGGGTTGGTCTTTGTCTTGTTTCTCTCCACGACCTTTCTTTTTGTGTTTAAATAATTGTTATGTAGAAATCTTTGCCTCATTTGGACATACCCTTTGTTTCTTCACTCCATTCATCACCTTGCTCTTCTACTCAAAGCTTGATCAGTCGCTGTCCCGTGTTCCAAAGGGAAATAAAATAATTTATCCTTGGTGATTTCAATGCCAGAGTTGGGAGGAACATTAAATCTTGTGAAAGATGTGATTGACATGGCAGGTAAACTGCCCAGAGCATGGTCCGTTAATAACAACCTGTTTTATCAGAGACACAAATATAGTGTGCCTCATGGCAACACCTTTACTCAGAATATTGGCACCTGTTAACTATATCTTTCATCTGAGTATGTAACTGCAAGAATGTTTCGCATCACCTGTGCCAAGGCATGAGCTGATGATTGCTGGACTAATCATTGCCCAGAAAAAGCAGCAGAAGTGCTGCTGCAGAAAAATCAATGATGATGGATTCAAAGCCTTCTGGACCAGAGAATTACAGATCATTTATGAGGTTCTGATTGTTTTATACATGCATTTCAATGTGCTGGAAGAGACAAAACAGACCAGTTTCAAATTAAATTATTAGTCAATGCAATGAAGTGACATTTTTGATTCCTAACAAATGCTTCTGGAATCAATACAGTGGCTGCAGCTTGTCAGTACCTTGTATATGGACTCAATTCTCTGGTCCAGGAGAAAAATATGTACCTTCAGACTTCCCCGCCCACTAAGCAAAAGTTAATCATTTAGGTGAATGTATCTGGGGAGCCTGTGTTCTGTGACGCATTGATTTCTTTCTGGCTCTACACATTTGAAACAGATTTATCACATGCCATAATCGGAGATTTTAAACCCAGCTAGAGGAAGAACCACACAGAGGCCCTTCAGAAGTCTCCTCTCAAGTCACTCTAGAGGTGGTCAGGACCTCCACCTCCAGCATGCCTTCCAAAAAACATTGTTGTAAAGCCTATTTTGTAATCAATTAAAATTGTAAATCCCAACAGTTGTAAAAGGAAGTTGTTTATTCTGGCAGGTTCTGAAGAAGACTGATAAGGACATGGTTACCGTTGTTGCCGCTGGGGTGACAATGCAGGAAGCATTGACTGCAGCTGCAAAATTGGCTGAAGAGGGTAAATATGAAAAGATCAGTGTTCAATGTATATAGAAGTATATGTGTCTTTCTATGCTGGTTTTAAAGTTAATGACCAATGTCTGTACAAGCAAATTCTTCCCTACAGTGTCTTATGTATCACAGTTGATCACATTCTGTTAGACCATATTCGAACTAAGACTGAGATGCATTTTACATTATATGACTTCATTACTTCTTTAGAGAACCCTCCTCATTGAATACTGACTCCTAGAATAAAAATGATTTCATTGGTATTGAATGGCAGTTGTAAGGAATTTCATTTCTACGTGAATTAGTGAGTATGGTATGGAACTGAAACATCTGACAATGCATCACTCCCTTTAGGATGACTGTGGTTAAATTAAGTTCACTGCTGAAGCCTGGGTAGGAATTCATAGAGATCAATATTCATTCTATTAAATAAGAACCAGGTAAGAAAGTTGGCAAAGACAGAAAATGTTAGAAATGCTCAGCAGGTTAGACAGCATCTGTTTGTGTCTCCACAGATACTGCCAGACCAGCGGAGGTTTACAACATTTTTGACTTTTATCTTAGCTTTGCAGCATTTGTAGAACTACTTTGTTTTTGTATTAAAGGAAAAGTTAAACCAAATGATTAGTGTGCAACTAATAAATGTTATTATTTATTTGATGTTAGACACTGTGAGCCTGCTGTCCAACCAGGGATAATTGAAAACCTGTTTTCAGAGGAGTTTCAATAGTCGGAAGATGTAGGTTGGGAGGAGGATGGGGACAAAAGCATGAGGGGATTTCTAGATGAGAACAAGGATTTCAGTGTCTTGGGAAACCTCCTGCAAAAAATTGGAGATTTCAAATTCTCACCGTTCTCCTTAATCTTGCTCCCTTGTGAGTAAGGGGTTCTGGAATCTGCATTTAGAAATAGTCAAGGCATTTGCATGATGTATAATCAAATGAAAATTATCTAATCAAAAATGTATTTCATCTTACAGATGTGTTCATCCGAGTGGTTGATCCATTTACAATTAAACCACTTGATGATAAAACTATTGTTTGTTGTACTAAAGGCACCAAAAAGAAGCATGTTATCACTGTGGAGGATCACTATTACGAAGGTAATATTTTAAAATATGTTTGGACCAGCACAGTGTGATAGTCTACACTACATGTTGTTATGGTTCATTATATGAGCCAAATGTTTGCATTTTCAAAGAACAGTACAGAACAGGAACAGCCCCCTCGGCCCACCAAAACTATGCCGACATATGATGACTTTCTAAACTAAAAATCTTTTACCTCTCTGTGATCCATATCCGTCTATTCCCTGCCTTTTCAACTATCTGTCAAGGTGTCTCTTAAACATTGCTATTTTATCCCCCTCCACCACCACCTCTGGCAGTACATTATCACTCTGTGTTTAAAATAAAAACCAACTTGCCTCTCATATTTCCTTTAAACACAGCCCCTTTTACCTTAAACCTATGTTGCCCAATAATTCACATTTCTCCTCTTTGTAAAAGACTCAGACTATCCATTCTATCCATGCCTGTTATAATTTTGTAAATTTCTATCAAATTGCCCTCATTGGTCGATGTGTCCAAGATAACCAGGTGTAGAGCTGGATGAACACAGCAGGCCAAGCAGCATCAGAGGAGCAGGAAAGCTGCCGTTTCGGGTCTAGACCCTTCTTCAGAAATGGGGCAGGGGAAGGGGATTCTGAAATAAATAGGGAAAGAGGGGGAGGCGGATAGAAGATGGATAAAGGAGAAGATAGGTGGAGAGGAGACAGACAGGTCAGAGGCGGGGATGGAGCCAGTAAAGCTGAGTGTAGGTGGGGAGTTAGGGGGGGATAGGTCAGTCCAGGGAGGACAGACAGGGCAAGGGGGCAGGATGAGGCTGGTAGGTAGGAGATGGGGGTGGGGCTTGAGGTGGGAGGAGTAGATAGGTGGGAGGAAGGACAGGTTAGAGATGCGGGGACAAGCTGGGCTGGTTTTGGGATGCGGTCGGGGGAGGGGAGATTTTGAAGCTTGTGAAGTCCACATTGATGTCGTCTAAGGAGTGGGAGGGGGAGTTGAAATGGTTCACGACTGGGAGGTGCAGTTGTTTAGTGCGAAGCGAGCGTAGGTTTCCACAAAGCGGTCCCCAAGCCTCTGTTTGGTTTCCCCCATGTAGAGGAGGCTACGTCGGGAACAGCGGATACAGTATACCACATTAGCAGATGTGCAGGTGAACATCTATTTGATGTGGAAGGTCTTCTTGGGGCCTGGGATGGGGGTGAGGGGTGAGGTGTAGGGGCAGGTGTAGCAATTTCTGCGGTTGCGGGGAAAATTGCTGGGGGTGGTGGGGCTGGTGGGGAGTGTGGAGCGGACGAGGGAGTCACAGAGACAGTGGTCCCTCTGGAAAGCAGATAAGGGTGGGGAGGCAAAAATGTCTTTGGTAGTGGGGTCAGATTGCAGATGGCAGAAGTGCCGGAGGATGATATGTTGGATCCGGAGGTTGGTGGGGTGGTACATGAGGATGAGGGGGATCCTGTTTTGGTTTTTATTGCGGGGAGGGGGTGTGAGGGATGAGTTGCGGGAGACGTGGACGTGGGCATTTTCGACCACTGTAGCGGGGGATGTTGCGGTCCTTGAAAATGAGGACATCTGGGATGACCGGGAGTGGAATGCCTCATCTCGGGAGCAGATGCATCAGAGGCAAAGGAATTGGGAATACGGGATGGCATTTTTTCAGGAAGGTGGGTGAGAGGAGGTGTATTCTAGGTAGCTGTGGGAGTCTGTAGACTTGAAATGGATATCAGTTTCCAGGTGGTTGCCAGAGATGTAGACAGAGAGGTCCAGGACGGGGAGAGAGGTATCAGAGATGGTCCAGGTGAACTTAAGGTTGGGGTGGAAGGTGTTAGTGAAGTGGATGAACTGTTCGAGCTCCTCGTGGGAGCACAAGGCGGCGCCGATACAGTCATCGATGTAACGGAGGAAGAGGTGGGGGATAGGGCCAGTGTAGCTTCGGAAGAGGGATTGTTCCACGTATCCTACAAAGAGGCAGGCATAGCTTGGGCCCATGCGGGTACCCATGGCCAACCCCCTTTGTCTGTAGGAAGTGGGAGGAATTGAAGGAGAAGTTGTTAAGGGTGAGGACGAGTTCAGCTAAGTGTATGAGGGTGTCAGTGGAGGGGGACTGGTCAGGCCTGCGGGACAGGAAGAAGCAGAGGGCCTTTAGGCCATCTGCATGGGGAATGCAATTGTATAGGAACTGGACGTCCATGGTAATGATGAGGTGTTGGGGACAAGGGAATCGGAAGTTTTGGAGGAGGTGGAGGGCGTGGGTGGTGTCATGGACATAGGTGGGGAGTTCCTGGACCAGTGGGGAGAAAATGGAGTCGAGTCATAAGTAGAGATAAGTTCGGTGGGTCAGGAGCAGGTGGAGACAATGGGTCGACCAGGGCAGTCAGGTTTGTGGATTTTGGGAACGAGATAGAAGTGGGCGATGTGGGGTTGGGGAACGATGAGGTTGGAGGCTGTGGATGGGAGGTCACCTGAAGTGATGAGGTTGTGGATGGTTTGGGAGATGTTTTGGTGGTCAAGGGTGGGGTCATGATCAATGGGGCGGTAGGAGGAGGTATCAGAGAGCTGGCATCTGGCCTCGGCGATGTAGAGGTCGGTGCGCCATACGACAACTGCGCCTCCCTTGTCCGCGGGTTTTATGGTGAGGTTGGGATTGGAGCGGAGGGCTGCACGTTCTGTGGGGGAGAGGTTGTTATAAGTAGAGATAAGTTCGGTGGGGCTGGAGCAGGCGGAGACAATGGATTGGACAAATTTGTCCAATCTCTTCTCATAGGTAATGCCCTCCAAACCAGGCAACATCCTGTAAACCGTTTCTGTACCCTCCCCAAAGCCTCCTAATCCTTGCATGAATGCATAGAATATTCCAAATGTGGTCTAATTAAACTTCTATATAGCTGCAACATGACTTGCCAATTTTTAGACTCAGTGCCCCCATCGACAAAGGCAAGCATTCTTATCTACTTGTGTTGCCATTCTGTGATCTTTGGACCTGTACGCCTAATCCTGCTGTATGTTGCTGCTACTTAGGGTTCTGCCATTTACTGTATATAGATCCCACCTGCATTAGATCTACCAAACTGCATCATCTTCTATTGTCTAAATAACTTCCTTTCCATCTGCCATTTCTCCGCCCAAGACTCCAACATATCTATATCCTGCTGCATCCTGTGGCAGTCCTCCTCACTATCCACAGTTCCCCCAATCTTGGTGTCATCTGCAAACTTATTAATCAGTCCACCTATACTATCCTTCAATATATATTACAAACAAAAGGGGTTCCAGCATTGATCCCTGTGGAACACCACTGGTCACAAATCAGAAAAGCACCCTTCCATTGTTGCTCCTTGTCTTCTGTGACTAAGCCAATTCAGAAAGTTTTGTTAGGATTGAGATAGATCACCTATCCTGCATTCTCAATAAATGTTGGCAAGAGCACGGAGATAAAACACAGCATGCAGTATAAAATTAAAGGTTACATACCGTAGACCATCTCAGGAAATCAGAAGCACTTCTGTCTTAAAAAGTTCTGAAAGCCACAGCAAGGCAAACCCCCAAGCAGCTTCTGTATCTGCCAAATAATGGAATGGTTACAACATAGAAGGAAATTATACAGCCCATCAATTCATGCCAGTTTTCTAGAATATCAATTTAGTTTATCCCAAAAGTCCTTATACAATGCTATAAAATTGTACAGAAACTACAGAATATGCTTAAATACTATTGTTACAAATAATGGATGAAATTCTGATAAGTAGGGTTTTATTCAGCATTTGTCAAATATTATTATTACAGAATTATTTCTTGCCACTTTGTTCCTTTTTCTCTAGCCAAAATCCCTACTGATTTCCCTTTGCTGTATGCAACCTATTTCTTGCACTTTACAGGCTGTTTAAAATTGACATATGGCCCTCATGAGTGCATCTTAAAGGGATCACTCTTTGTGCATGACCTTTGTATCCCATGCATGGCACATTCCCCATTTATTTTTTAAATGCTGGTTACTAGAGCTTGTGATGGAGCTTCCAAGTGATTGACAGCAAATGGCAGAAATATAGAAAAAGATGATGACTTCTTGGGTGCAATGTATAACAAATGAAGATAAACTATACTCATAAAAGCAGAATCACCTTCAATAGATGTGTCAATGCTTCCTGAAACTGGGTCTTACTAAGAACATTGACAACAGCAAAGATTGGACTCTGATGCCAGAAAGGGAAGACTAAAGCATACTTACTATCAGTTTCTGAAATCACTGTTGTTGACTGTTTGAATATAGTAGGAGGCAAAATTATTGGTTGTTATTGTGATAGCATAATTTCTGTCTTTAAAGCGTAATGCCATTATGTTACTGTTTTATATCTATATCTAGTTTATATCTCTTTACCAATTTTAATGTAATAAAATCTGATTGCTGTTTATTGTACTCCCAAATGACAAATTGTGACCAATCTGACTTTTTCTCATCTCCTTCCAGTACATCCATAGCTGCCCCTGATGCATATAGCTGTTTTCTGATACTTCCTTAACTAACTTAACACTCATGTAATAGCCTTCATTAACATGGAGATAATTATTATCCCCAACCCTACTCTTGTACTTTCACAACCACTGCAGATTAATGTTTTTTTTTGATGTGTGTATATTTAACAAATGCTTACTATGGCTGTTTCAGATGGTACATTTATTCTTACATTGATGACATGAATAGCTTTTCTGTTTGTTTGCAGGTGGTCTTGGTGAAGCAGTAGCAGCTGCTCTTGCTTCAGAACCTACAATTATAGTGCACCGCCTGGCAGTGTCTGGTGTGCCATTTAGTGCAACACCAGCAGAGCTACTGGAAAGGTTTGAGATTGATGCAAAGGCAATAGTGAAAACTGTGAAAGACATCATTTCAAACTAGACAAAGTCCCCATATTGTGTCACACAATGGGCTGAAGTTCCATTCTTTTCAGTGATTTGTTTATATTAGCAATATACTTTGGATGTTCCTTCAATTTACTTAATTGTAAGCTTTAAAATAATCTGTGAAAATTAACTGTAAAAACTTTGAATATAGTCTTTATAGTGAAAATGTTGCCTATTGTTTTACAGCAACTGTTTGTTTTGCTCCACTGGTGGGCTAATATGCACAAAATATGTCCATTTAATGGTGTACAGATGGTTACAGCTCCTGATTTGTTTTGAAGTGACACCTGTGGAAGACCCTACTTTAACATTTTACTCTTTTCTTTCCCCTTACAATTACTTAAAAAGGCTACCTACCCAAGGATTAGATGAGAATTAAAGACATCAGAAACTAGAAATGACTGTTAGTGATATTACTAGAATAATGCTTAATATGTTTGCATGGTTTTTCTCTGTGATCTATTTTAGTACAGGAATCCATGCAGTTAAAACAAGTCAGCTAATGTCTGTGCTAAAATAAACAGAGGAATGTCCTACAAGCATGTTAAACTCCATGCCCTTGACAGTGACTCTCCACTCTACTCCCAGTCTACATTCCTAGACTGAACCAAACTATTCAAAACCTCAGTGTCTTATTTAGACCCATGACAAACATTCATTCCCATATCTTCTCCATTACAAAGAGTTCCTACTACCATCTGTGTAATGTTGCTCACTTTTGCTGTTAACTAAAGTAGTCTTGTGAAACCATCAGCCATCCACAAACTACACTGTTCTGAAATTTTGCTGTCTGTATCCTATTATACACAATTCTTTGCTCTTACCTATAACCTTGCCCTTGATCATATAATTGTTTATATTTAAATCCCTTTCTGACCTTGCATCTCCTCATAGCCTATAGCTACTTCCCTTTGAAAGCTGTTCCTCTGAATCTGGCCTTGTAGCCAATTTTGGCAGAGAGATGCCTTCAGTTCCCTTGGAATGGTGCTTTGGAATTTCTTCTGTAACTCATTAATATCCCTCTCCTTCATCAAGGCATTTTATAAATGTAAGTTGCTGCTTTTCATCATTTAATATTATCAAAATTTCTAAACTATATTAGATTTCAGTTTCATTCAACATAGCAAGAATCTTAATTCACTACATTGCATCGTTCTCTCGCTAAAAAACATTTTTGTTCAAATAGTTGCCGTATGGATGTAGCTAATTTTCAGAATCTTATAACTTAGTTGCAGTAGCAGAACCAAAGCACTCATAATTTGGCTGATATTTAAAAGAATAAATAATGGATTATATACAAGTCAGAGATGCATAAGTAACTCACTGCCTCCATTTTACTGCTGGCATAATATTAAAAAAAAGGTTATTTTATGACTTGAAAATATTTTAATTAAAACGATGTGTTTTTAAAATGTTGCTTCTACGATTTGAGACTCTGCAAAAATATTCAACTTAAAATTGAAGAGCTAAGAAATGCAACTTTTGATTGCAAGGTGCTATGCCATGGCAAAATAATAAATTTTTTTTAACAACCGAGAAAGGAATTCTGAGGTTTTCTTGTAGCTGTGAGCCAGTGAATCTGAATTTTGCTCCACTGAGCAATTAAATTGTTATGAGTGATTTCATCCAGCTGTTAATGTATGTCTGCTGTTTTGAACCACACTGCTGTGTCAGATAAAAGATGTAACCAATGTAGTTTAATGCTTGGAAGCTTTCTGCAGTTCTTTGGCAGATATATGCTTCTAAATTGGATGATTTGGAAAACCTAAATAGCTTTGGCGCATTTTTTCTAGGAAAAGCATATACTTGAAGAAAGAAACTAAGCATCTGTTTAGGTGAGCACCTCCCACAGATGCATTGGTAATTAATTTAGCTTAATTTGGCCTTTTCTCTGACTGTAGGATATTTTTAATCCCTGGAAGAGTGGGTTCTGTTAGTTACTGATGGTATTAGCTCTGTAGAAAGAGATGACTTAAATTCAGGAAACCAAGATGTGGGAACAACTTCATTAGAAATAAGATATGATAAAGGCATGAAGTTAATGTGGGAGTAGTGTACAGGCACCCTAACTAACTACATGGTAGTTAGTCACATGATAACCATGGGAAATTTTAATGTACATATCGAGTGGAAAAGATCGTCTAGAGGAGTTCATGGAATGTTTTTGGGATGCTTTCTTAGAATAGCATGTTCTACAGCCACTCAGCAGGCTACACTGGACCTCATACTGTACAATGAGCTGGGGTTAATCAGTGATCTCATATTGAAGGTGCCCCTAGTAGATAGCAGTTTCCGTAATATTCAATTTTGCATTCAGATTGAAGGAGGGAGGAGACTATTTTTAAAAATTAAAGTAAGGGGAATTATGACAGCATGAAAGCAGAGGATTAAAGAGAATTTGGACGTGGAGATACAGCGGTAGATCTTTCAGGCAATGCTTCAGAATACACAGGGTAAATACATTCCAATGGGAAAGAGATATTCCAAAGAACAGGCCCACCATCATGGTTAATTAGAAATATAAAAGAGTTCCAAACTGAGAAGAAATATATGTAATTGTGTAAAGACAGATAGTAGGTCAGAAGTTTAGATGGAATATAAAACAAAAGCAAAGAATGATCAAAAAATTAATAAAGTGAAAAATTAGGATACAAAAGAAAGGTAGCCAGAAATATAAAAACAAATGTAAGCGTTTCTATTCATTTTTAAAGAATAAGTCTGAATGTTGGGCCTACAAAAAGGTGAGACTGGATAATTAATAATGGAAAATAAGCATATGGTTGGTGAATTGAACTGGTATTTTGCATTAGTCTTCATTATAGAGAATACAAATAACATTCCAGTAGAAGCGATAAATCAGGAAATAGATGGGTGGGAGGAACTCAGGAAGATCACAAACACCAGAGAAATGGTAATGAGTAAATTGCAACTGAGAAGTGACTGAGTCCTGATGTCTTCATCCTAGGGTCTTAAAAGAAATGGCGGGTGAGATAGATGATGCATTGGTTTTAATTTTCCAAAATTCCCTTGTTTTAGAGACAGTTCCATTAGATTGGAAGATAACAACTGTAACTCCTTTATTCAAAAAGGAAGACAGAAAACAGGAAACTACAAGCTACTGAGCTTAACATTTGTCATAGCGAAAATGATGCTACCATTAAAGAAATTCCTCGCTAGGCAAGTTTTAGGTTAAACGTAATCGGGCAAAGTCAATGTGGTTTTGTGACTGGTCAAATATTATTTTCTTTTCTGTTGGAATTCTTTGAAGAGGTAACGCATGCTGTGGACACTGGAAAACTGATTGATGTATTGTAATTAGATTTCTAAAAGGTGTTTAATAAGGTGCAACATCAAACTGCCAACAGGCATCAGTGGGTCTTCAGTTTGGCAAGATGCAACAGATAATGCATCTCGGAGATCAGCATTGAGACCTCAGCTACACACAATTTAGACAATTAGCTTGGATTAAGGGTCAGAAGATGTAGTTGCCAAATTTGCTGACAACACAAAGATAGGTTAAAAAAAAATTAAGTTGTCAAGAGGACATAAGGACTCTATAAAAAGATATAGGTAGGTTAAGTGAATGGGCAAAAGTAGCAAATGGAGTATAATGTGGAAAAATGTGAAAATGTCCATTTTAGCAGGTAGGATACAGGAGAATGATCAATGATCTAGAATGGCAGAGCAGACCCAAAGGGCTGAATGGCCTAATTCTGCTCCTGTGCTCCTAAAAAAAAATTGTGCCAACCAATTATGGGTCAAGATATGTAAGAATCTGTTGTTTTTAAGCAACTGACTTAGAGGCTTGTTTCTCTGTAAAAAGATTTTTTTAAACTAGGTAGAAAACAGACTGGAAAGAGACACAGCTGTAATTTCAACAGCTCCCACTTCACCTCTTGCTTCTTTCTGATTGACAAAACTGCATGTATGACTATACCTCCCTTTCACATGCCTAATTTGGTATTGCAATATAAATGAAAAGGAATGGAACTTAATAATAATTGTGACATTAGAATACCAGAAAAAAAACCCTTCATGTCAGAAGAGTTATCATTAGCCACTTTAATATTTTAGTTTGTCATCATAGCCAATTCAGTGAATCAATTAAAATTATCCAGTTGGTCCTGAGTGATGGGAATGTTCAAGAATCATAGCATCCCTACAGTGTGGAAACAAGCCATTCGGCCCAACAAGTCCACACCACCCTTCCGAAGAGCATCCCATCCAGACCTATTCCCCTACCCCTGAATTTCCCATGTCTAACCCAGGCATCCCTGGGCACTATAGCATAGCCAATCCACCTACCCTGCACATCTTTGGACTGTGGGAGGAAACTGGAGCACCCAGAGGAAACCCACGCAGACACAGGGAGAATATGCAAACTCCACACAGTTGCCCAAGGGTGGAGTTGAACCCGGATCCCTGGTGCTGTGAGGCAGCAGTGCTAACCACTGAGCCACCGTCTGTGGCATTATATCCACTGGGAGGCTGATTGAGCCTCTTCAGGTTAATTTAGTGAAGGACTTGCTAAACTGATCAGAGACAGATTTTCCATACTACCATTCTGGTTCAATTTTGGACAGTCTGAAAATTGGATGGTTTGTGAAAATGTGGATTATTCACAAAAAAAAAGCAACACACAAAATATACTCTTGACAAATTTTTAACACCTTTGAATGTGTAAATAGAGTGTAGTTTGATTGGAAGATTGTATTCTGAACATTTTATAAGAATAGTTCATTTGCGAAGTGCAGTAATCACAATGCAATATTGTGCTATATAATGCTCACTGTAAACAGACAATCTGATTAAACTGAAATACAGCACAGTGTAAAATTTAATTTCAGCCTTATCATCATGGTGTGGCATTTGACAAGTTGACAGTGTAGCCTGCATATCATTGCATATATTGATTGCAGAGCAAAATAACCTCATGAGAATTTTTGAGGCCTGATAAGTATTGCTGAATTTGTCATTACAATCCAACATTGAAGCTTCACAGTCTAGGCAGTTGGTAGCTGTCGGGGTTGAATCAGTTTTAGTTAGTTATGGGATTAATTTTCAGTCATATTGTCAGTAAAAGAAAAGCAAATGGGAACCACAGATGTACAAAGGCAGGGTAGGAGTGCAGGAGCCATACTATCAGCAAGGATGGCGCCAGTCGTGGGTGAAATACAGACAATACCTGTTTAAACTGTAGGAAAACAGTAAATTACGAAAGTCACCTAGATGATGAAACTTGGGAATTGCGATATGTAATATTGTAATATTTTGTAGAATGCTCGAAGGGGTCTGTATCTCACAAGGGTTGGTTTTATATTTCATTGTGATAAAACTATCTTTCCTTGCGTGTGCATGAAAATAAATGATAATTGACCAGTTTCCTTAGTCTCCTATTAATTTGCTGAGTTGTGCATCAATAGAATCTGGTTTGGTCGACGGGGTCTCATGTCACGTCCCTGGGACCGCTACTGCATTTGGTTGCGTATGTTTTAGTTTACCACCCATGGTTAGGGCAGAAAACCAGACTGAGCAAATGTGGACAAGATCAAAAAGAAACTGAAGAAAGACCCAGGACAGGAGGCAACAGGTAAGGAGGCAGAGCCACAGTGGTGGCTGGAGAGAAGATCCCTCAGAAGCTGCTATGTAACGGATAAGTTAAAGATTTGTGATTGGGAAATTAAGGCTATGCAGGAAGGTGGGATAATGGCTGATGTATGGAGAAAAGATATGTGGGAAAAGAAAACTAAAGATGAAATTTAAAACAAAAAAGAGGTTAGTTGAAGCCTTGCTGGTCAGAAATTAAGATCATGATAGCAGGCTAACGAAAGTTCAAATCTTTTTTTTCTATTCCTGGAAAGCAGCCAGGAAAGATAACCCCAAGAACAAGGGATGTATTGAATGGACACACACAAGTAATTTCTATGGAAACAAGTCTTTAAAATAAATTTATAATTAAAAGGATCCTGTTAATTATTTGAATTTTGAATAATTTTGATTGTGAAATGTCTAAATGAATTTAGCAAGTTACTGTTGGAAAAACAAGATACTCAAGTGTAAAGAATGAATGTGTGAGAGATGTTACTGCCTGGAATCAAATGAAAAAGTTTTATTTCTGTTTTAAAATATTGTTAGAATGTTTATTGAATAGTAGAAGTTCTCTCATGAATGAGGGAACTTGGTAACAATGAGAGAGCTTTATGAGGGGAGAAGATAGAAGCAACAAGTAATTTCATTTTGAGAACTTGGTATAACCCTTCAAGGTGTAATTTGAATATAAATCAATTTGGTTTTATATAGGTTACAATGAAGGGAAATGCAGATAAAACTGGTATATATGGGATAAAGTTTGGATTGTAACTATGATAGGAATAGAAAGGAATATCCACAAGTTGTGTACAGTTAAGGAAAAAGAACTGTAGGGTCTTTTAAATTCATGAAGCATTTATACTTAAATATCAGTAATTAAGAATTAGGAATAATTTCTGTTAGAATGTGTTATCGAGCAAGGTAATCTGTAGGTGGACAAAGCCATAGCATGTAAGTAGTGACTTTCCACATCTCCTGGTATGGTGGAGAGAAGAACTGGAACCTTTAAAACAAATTTGAAATGTTGAATACAGATTATCGCAACTGTTGTGCTACTGCACTCCACAGCTAACACTTACATAAATAGTAGGTAGGCCTTTGGGGTCGTGCAGGGTTATGTAGTCACATGGAGTTGAAAAGAGTACATCATCTGACGTGGAGGGCATATACAGTTTGAAACAAGGAATTAGTGGAAGCTGTTAGACAACCATTAGAGGCAGCACTAATAAAGGTTAAAGCACATGAGCAGAAAACAGACTTCAGTTAGGCTACCTAAGGACAGATGTGACAGCTAAGGAGGCATCCACAACTGACCCTGAGCATCAGGTGGCAGTGATGGCAATTGGATTTTTGGAAATAAACATGATACTGTTGTGACACTAGGATAGTAGGTCAAACCATTATCAGCGTATCACTGGATTTGCAACACAGTGAAATTAAAACCTCAAATTTCCCAATTGTTCTTAACCAGACTTTACAATTGACAAATCTTGGACAACAAGTTTATAACTTTAATTGTTGATTTTTGTTTCAGTACATAACTTTAGCAGAACACAGTAAACTACAAGGCAATCTAATGAATGGCTGTAATCTAAGCCCAATCATCATTGTTCATGGAACTAGTTAGAAATAGATTTCACAAAATCCTTCCCACTGAGTTAGGAAAAGAGTTCTTGTCTGGTCATTATTGACGAGTTGATCATGTGGATGGAAGCTTATCCTATACAAGACAGTTCAGTTTCTCGGGTTGCTGAAATACTGGTAGAAGAGATAAACCCAAGATATGGAACACCATTACATGTGTTTGGATCAGGGAACACATTCTACAGGATGAGTGAATAAGGAAGTTTGTAAGTTACTGGGAATCAAGAAAAATACCAGGTTCCTCTCACCTGCAGAGCCTAGGCATGGTCAAACAAATGAACAGAACATTAAAGATGACATTAACTAACATCCAGAAGTTGGAGCAGGAATGCACTAATATGTTGCCTAATATCCTAATAGGACTGACGGTGACAAATAACAGAGCAACTGGAGTATCACTATATGAGTACTACCAGCAGGGGCGATGGAATTGACAGGGGATGTTGTTTTTGGCAGAAAGGAAGTAGGAGCTGCAAGTGAAAGAGTTAAATGATTTGTGAGAGTGTTGTGCAATGCAGCTGCACAGACTGAGATAAGTTAGGGATCAGCACCACATGCAATATGGGAGAGGTAGGAATGGAACACGTTGAGATACCAGGCTAGGAGTTAAGGTGATGGCAAAGACCATGTTGGAGAAGGAAAGATTTGCACTAAAATGGGTAGGCCCTTGTGAAATGATCATAATTAGCAATATTTGTACTTGTTTATGCATGACAAGGAAAAGACATTGCAAGCACAAGTCACAATTGGAGCAAGTCACTGACTAATTTGTGTTCCAGAATACAGGGTGGTGGGATGATTTGAATTATGCTAATCCTGGTAGTGAAGAAGAAAAGAGAAAGTCTATCACAGTAACATCTTGCAATATATTCAGTGTTTCAATATGGCACTGGATATGACAACACTTTGCGTATAACACAAAAAATCTAAGTTTAATTTAATCTAGTGGTATGTGCTGTGGAGTTGGTAGCTGCTTTACAAATACCTCCTGAGCAGGTACCAACAAATGGATGATTATTGTATAATGGAACTGCTCACTACCTAGACCAAAGGCAGTTTAGTCCCAAAGTGAACTAGTTATTGTGCGTGACTTAGGACAGTTTCCTGAGTGTTGCACAAGTGGAAGAAGAAGGAACGGGCTGTGAAGTTATGTTATTTCATTGACATATAATTGTGCACAACTTATCTGCTACCACCATGCTCCTCTACAACTGGACAGAAACATTTCAACACTGACCCCAAGGATGGGCTTCATGCCAAAGTGGCCTAGTAGTAGGGTTGATATCACTGGGAATATTAACTGGAGAGTGATAGTTATACCACACCACAATGAATTTAGCACAATGGGTGGCAACAACAATGACACACACTACCCCTCCCAGTATAGCTGAGGGTAGGGGATTAGAGACAATGACCCATCATGTCCAGCTTTAAACCCAGGACCAGGAAAGGGACTTCAATTATACGATTTGCCTGTAGAGCCAGAAAAACTACACTATTCGCTCCATCTCAGTAGATATGACAACAAATCAAATCAACCATTTATGATAATGTGCCCATGAGCTGGTACCTATTCTAAGCTATACAGAAGGTATAACTAAGTACTATTATAATCATAATCTTGATAATTTACCTGAGTCTTTAAAGTTAAAGTTTCGAGTCCATTCTGAAGAAGGGTCATTGGAGCCAAAACATTAACTCTGATTTCTCTGCACAGATGCTGCCACACCTGCTGAGTTTTTACAGCAATTTCCGTTTTTATTTCTGATAGCACTGAAGACTTGTACTCCAGAACTTTCCACTCCCCTAGCCAAGCTGTTCCAGTACAGTGAAAACACTAGCATCGATCCGACAATTTGCAAAATTGTCCAGATATGTAGGACAACTCCAACCTAGCCCATTACCAGCCCACTAACCTACTCTCAATCATTGGTAAAATGATGGAAGGTGTCATCAACAGTACTTATCAAGCAGCACCTGCTCAGCAATAACCTGCTCAGTGACGGCCAGTTTGTGTTCTGCCAGGGCCACTTAGCTCCTGGTCTTGGTTCAAACATGGACAAAAATGCTGAATTCCAGAGATGAGGTAAGAGTAAGATCCACAAGCATCCACTGTCACCACCACTGATACTCAGAAGCAACAATGTGTACCATTTACAAGACGCACTAAGAAATTCACCAAAGATCCTTAGCCAGCATCTTCCAAACCTATGACCATTTCTATCTAGAAAGGCCATGGCAGCAGATACATGGGAACACCACCATCTGCAAGTTCCCCTCCAAACCTCTCACCATCCAGACTTGGATATATATCATCATTCCTTAACTGTTGCTGGACAACCCTTGACATCAAGGCTGCATTTGAAAATTGAGGTATCAAGGAACCGCAGAAAAACTGAAATCAATGGGAATCGGGGGGCGGGGGCGCAACTCTCCTGGGTGGAGACAGACAGGCCTGCACTCTATTCAACCTCTCTTTAAAAGTCTCCCACATATCAAGTGTGGATTTACCCTCAAACAGCTGCTCCCAATCCACATTCCCCAGCTCCTGCCGAATTTTGCTGTATTTGGCCTTTCCCCAATTTAGCAGTCTTCCTTTAGGACCACTCTCGTCTTCGTCCATGAGTATTCTAAAACTTACAGAATTGTGATCACTATTCCCAAAGTAATCCCCTGCTGAAAGTTCAACCACCTGGCCAGCCTCATACTGGCCCCAACACCAGGTCCAGTATGGCCCCTTCCCGAGTTGGACTATTTACATACTGCTCTATAAAACCCTCCTGGATGCTTCTTACAAATTCTGCTCCATCTAAATCTCTAACACTAAGTGAATCCTAGTCAATGTTGGGAAAATTAAAATCTCCCATCACCACCACCCTGTTGCTCCTACATCTTTCCATAATCTGTCTGCATATTTGTACCTCTATCTCATGCTCGTTGTTGGGAGGCCTTTAGTACAGCCCCAACATTGTTACCGCACCCTTCCTATTTCTGAACTCTGCCCATATTACTTCACTGCTCAAGTCCTCCATCGTGTCCTCCTTCAGCACAGCTGTGATATCTTCTTTGACCAGTAATGCAACTCCTCCACCCCTTTTATCTCCCTCTCTATCCCGCCTGAAGCATCTATATCCTGGGATATTTGGTTG